CGCTCGTATGATTCCTGTTTACTTGGCAGAGATGGAGATAATAAAGGAGACCGATCCTGAAATCTACCATAAGTTCCAGAATGGCAACTGGGTGGTGAACAAGAACGCGAACGTAGCATTCTGTGCCGTTGGCGCTGACAACGCGCTTGAACACGTCAACAGATCAATGAAAGTCTCAGGTGGATTGATTGGCATCACGCTGAACCCTACTGCACGCACAAAGTATTTTTTGATTGCACCTGAGTTAGCAAGACTGGCAGAACAAGCCAAGCTGATGGCAGGTACTTCTTCTAAGACACAGACTAGCCATCACAACCTCACCACTGCTGTCAGGTTACGTGAAGAAAGGAACGTCCAGCAGCTGACCACTAGTATTCAACGGTTCACCAACCCCTTCACAGTAGAAGGCCCTGATCTGTTCAACCTAGTGACGAAAGTGCGCATGCCCGAGAAAGTGAAGAAAGATCTCTGCGATCAAAGCGTCATTGGTAACAAGCTGTTCGGAACATTCGTTAAGGAACGGATACAGACAGCCGAGAAGAGCATCTGGGACGTGATGAAGAAGCGCAAGCTCCTAACGTGGAAGACTACTGGGAAAACAGTTAGGGTGGCTACAAAGGATAAGATCATCGAGCTAAAGGAAGATCGATGTCTCTTCGCGCGGATGATGGTAATCTGCAAGTCCCGTCCAGAGATAGACATCAAAGAGGCAGTGGGAGCGTACGAGTTCTCGGTAGTTCCACGATCAATGTTTGCCGCCGATGGCAATATGCTGCACTGTTCCGCAAAGAGCGCCTTGATGAGTATTCTAGAGAAGCTGCCAAGTGACAGATCAGTTGCGCAGGCTGAACCCACTGACCAGTTCGCTAATGCAGATGTGCAGATCAAGGTTTCCATTGTAGATGGTATGGCCGAAGTACAAGCACTGGAAAAACCGGATTGGATCAAGACCTGCTCGGATCTGGCCAATCATTTCACTGTGACGATCTTCGACAAGTACAAGGAGGCAGATGAAATTCGTCTTATTTTCGACAGGTTTGT